TAAGAGAATACTTGAAAATTTGAATGGACCAAGTTAATGACTCCATGAAACAACAAGAAATATTTTTTAAAAGTAAGAAGACTGAAGAAATAGGAGAAAATATAATATATCTCAAAAACAACTCACCTGGAAAAAAAATCAGCTAGAGACAATTTAAGAATCATTTGGGAGAGCAACTAGGTGGTGCAGTGGATAGAGCACTAGCCCTCAAGTCAGGAGGACCTGAGTTCAAATCCAACCTCCAACCAAACACTTGACACTTACTACCTGTGTGACCCTGGGCAAGTCACTTAACCCCAGTTGCCTAAAAAAAAGAGGAAAAAAAAGAATCATTGGACTCCTGAAACCCAGGACCAAAAGAAAGTATGGATATCATTTCGGAAGCTACCAAGAGTTATTAGAACCAGAAGGCAAAGTAAAAATGGAAAGAATTCACTGGTCACCCTCAAAAAGAAGCCCCGAAATGAAAACTCTCCAAAATATGATAGCCAAAATCCAGAGCTTCTAGGTCAAGGGAAAAAAAATGCTACAGACAGCCAGAAAGAAAGAATTTAAGTAATAAGGAGCATTAGCTGAACTCTGAATGACAGGGAGCAAAGTTGGAGAGTGGGGGAAGCAGGAGGTGGCACATGATTAATGATGTCAAACAAGACAACAATAAAAATAGATTTGATTAAAAGAAAATTACAAGGAAACTTAATTTATACTGAAAGATACCATAGGCAATGAATTAATATTAGTATTTAATGTATATAAACCAAATGGCATCTAAATATATAAAGGGAAAAGTAACCAAATTATGGGGAGAAATAGACAGCAAAGATATCTTTTGCACCTTTCCCATTCTACTAGCAAACTTATGCATCAGCAACCTGAACAGTCTTTGGGGATAGAAGCCCTGTCCCTTATTGCTATAGAACTCAAAGCTACGAAGCAAGGTGAGCATATTCAGTGACGATGTCAAGTACAAACTCTTATGAAAAGAAGATATTTTTTGTTAAAATAATAAAGACATTTTTAATTACTTAAAACAGATTGGAGACAGTGATAAGTTGTGCTTTGAGTATTTGTTTCTGTTAAGTCAGGAAACAGGTGGACTCTGAAACAATGCTTTGTCAAAGTTTCTTTTACTCTCTTGAATAAATAGATTTTCCTGAGCTTAGCATGTCTATTTTGGAAAAAAGAAATCAGAAATAGAAGAATATCTCACAGACACAGACACATACACACACAAACACACACACACACATACACACACACACACACACACGTCTTGTTGATCTTTTTCTTATCTCAACTTTGACTTGATTACCAAGTATTTCAAGTAAAAGACCTTTTTTTAAAAGAGGATAATTAATTATAATTATAATTTTATATGTAGTATATTATATATAATTATAATTTAATAATTAATATAAACATTACAAGAACATTAATGTAACTGTTCAGATCATCTTTTTTATTTTGCATATTAGGATTCTAACACCAGTTAGGAGATGACTAATTGTTATTATAAAGGAACTAGAGGTTTAAAAACAACAAACATCTCTATGTTCCAAGTATACATATTCAAAAAAGAGTTACAGAATTTTATAGCTGGAAGAAACTAGCATTAAATGATCAAGTCTAAGCCCCTCATTTTACAAATTGTGAAAACCAAGGCTCAGAATAGTAGTTTGTTGTTGGTTTTTGGTTTGTTTGTTTGTTTGTTTGTTTTTCCTCCCAGTTAACACAACATATCACTGGTTTTAAGAGTTCTCATTCCCCTTTGCTCCCACATCCTGTTTAAAAGATGATCCATAAATATATATTTAAAATGTGAAAAAAAATTCATAATGTTATTTAAGATCCAAGGAAAAAATTGAGGCTTTGAACCAGCCAAAGGTTTTTATAGTTTTGTGGGTTCTGATTAGCAATTTTTTTAATATGTTCTTAATATAGATTTTTTATTTATTTATTTTTTAAAATTTTTAATTTTTTTTTATTTTTAGTTTTCAACATTTATTTCCACAAGATTTTGAGTTCCAAATTTTCATCCCATCTCACCCCTCCCTCCACCCCAAGATGACATGCATTCTGAATACCCCTTCCCCTAGTCTGCTATCCCTGCTATCTCTCCCCCCCTTCCCCTTCTATTTTCTCATAGGGCAGGATAGATTTCTGTACCCCCATTTCCTGTATTTCTTATTTCCCAGTTGCATGTGAAAATTTTTTTTAAACATGTGTTTTTTTAAACTTTGGGTTCCAAATTTTCTCCCTTCCTCCCTCCCCACCCACCCTCATTGAAAAGGCAAGCAACTCAATATAGACTATACTTTTGCAGTTATGCAAAACACTTCCATAGTAGACATGCTCTGAAAAACTAACTCTATTTCCCTTAATCCTATCCTGCCCCCCCATTTATTCTATTCTTTCTTTTGACCCTGTCCCTCCTCAGAAGTATTTGCTTCTGATTACCCCCTTTCCCAATCTGCCCTCTTTTCTATAATCCCCCTACTCTCTTGTCCCCTTCCCCCTCCTATTTTCCTGTAGGGTAAGACAGATTTCCATACCCCAATTGAGTGTGTATGTTATTCCCTCCTTAAGTCAAATTCTATGAGAATAAGATTCACTCATTCCCTCTCACCTTCCCCCAGTTCCTCTCCACTGTAAGAGCCTTTTCTTTTCTGTTTTTTTGTGAGATAATTTACCCTGTTCTACCTTTCCCTTTCTCCTTCTCCTAGTGTAATCCTCTCTCACATCCTTAATTTTATTCTCCAGATATGACCCCTTCATCTTCAACTCACCCTGTGCCCTCTATCTATCTATCTATCTATCTATCTATCTATCTATCTATACATACATATAATTTTTTCCCTCCAACTACCCTAATACTGACAAAGGTCTCATGAGTTACAAATATCATCTTTCCATGCAGGAATGTAAACAGTTCAATCTTAATAAGTCTCTTATGATTTCTCTTTTCTGTTTACCTCTTCATGTTCCACTTGAGTCTTGTATTGGAAAGTCAAATTTTCTATTCAGCTCTGGTCTTTTCATCAAGAATGCTTGAAAGTCCTCTATTTCACTGAATGACAATTTTTTCCCCTGAAGGGGATGGGTAGGTGATTCTTGGTTGTAATCCTATCTCCTTTGCCCTCCAGAATATTATATTCCATGCCCTGTGGTCCCTTAATGTAGAAGCAGCTAAATCTTGTGTTATCCTGATTGTGTTTCCACAATACTTGAATTGTTTCTTTCTGGCTGCTTGTAATATTTTCTCCTTGACCTGGGAACTCTGGAATTTGGCTACAATATTCCTAGGAGTTTTCCTTTGGGGATCTCTTTCAGGAGGAGATCGGTGGATTCTTTCCATTTCTATTTTGCTCTCTGGTTCTAAAATATCAGGGCAATTTTCCTTGATCATTTCTTGAAAGATGATGTCTAGGCTCTTTTTTTGATCATGGCTTTCAAAGTACAATAATTTTTAAATGATCTCTCCTGGATCTATTTTCCAGCAGTTGTTTTTCCAATGAGATATTTCACATTGTTTTCTAATTTTTCATTCTTTTGGATTTGTTTTACAGTGTCTTGATTTCTCATAAAGTCACTAGCTTCCAATTGCTCTATTCTAATTTTTAAGGAAGTATTTTCTTCAGTAATCTTTTGGACTTCCTTTTCCATTTGGCCAATTTTGCTCTTTAGGGCATTCTTTTCTTCATTGGCTTTTTGGACCTCTTTTGCTATTTGGGTTAGGCTATTTTTTAAGGTGTTATTTTCTTCAGTATTTTTGGGGGTCTCCTTTAGCAAGCTGTTAACTTACTTTTCATGATTTTCTTGCATCACTCTCATTTCTCTTCCCAGTTTTTCCTCTACTTGTCTTAACTTGCTTCTCAAAATCCGTTTTGAGCTCTTCCAAGGCCTGGGACTGATTCATATTTTTCTTGGAAGTTTTGGATGTAGGAGCTTTGACTTTGTTTTCTTCTTCTGGTTGTATGTTTTGATCTTCTTTGTCACCAAAGTAAGATAATATAGTCTGACTCTTTTTACGCTGCTTGCTCATGATCCCAACCAATTACTTGAGTTTTAAACTCTTTGTTAAGGCAAGAGTCTGTTTCCAGTGTGGAGAATGTACTGTTCCAAGCTTTGGGGGTTTGTACAGCTGTTTTCAGAGATACTTCTAGGGACCTGAAAAGTGTCAGTTCTTCCAAGGTGCTATGATAAGGGGCGAGGTGTTTCCTCTCCACCGCCACAACAAGCTCCACCATGCTAGCTCTCCTCCTCGCCCCAGGACCGCCCCTCAGAACTGTGACCCAGATCCAAGCACCAGTAAAGCAAGAGATTCCTGCCTCAGCCCTGGCAAAGAGATTCCTGCAATCCCCCCCTGATCAGCCACTCTATTCCCTTTCAGTCTGTGGGCCAGAAGCTCAGAACGCAGCCGCTGCCCTAGGGGCGGCTGAGATCTAGCTTCTTCTCTCACCGCAGAAACAGACTTTTCCCACTGACCTTCTAAGTTGTCTTCCCACTGACCTAAGTTGTCTTTGGCATTCATGGGTTGAGAACTCTGGAAACCGCCACAGCTGCCTGCGATTCAGCCCTCTGAGGCCTGCTCCAGGGTCGCTGCGGCCTGCGCACCCACACCGAACTGTGCTCTTCTCCCAGCCCGGCGCGATATACCTTTCCAATCAGCCATCCAGGTTGTCTTGGGCTAGAAATTTGTTTTACTCTGTTTTTTTGTGGGTTCTGCTGCTTTAGAATTTGTTTAGAGCCATTTTTGGTAGGTATGTGTAGGGGTTTGGGGGAGAGCTCTAGCAAGTCACTGCTTTCCCTCTGCCATCTTGGCTCCACTCCTCTTAATATAGATTTTTAAAGAGGGAATGAGTAATAGACTGTAAACTTTGGATTCTCTTAGCAGAATGATTTTGCCCATTTAAATTAACCTTTGCCTGTCTAAAAGTCCAATTCCAAAGACATTTTTCTTTTTAGCTAATTATAACAAAATATTTTTTCCTTTGTTTTAGGTTCCTTTTTATTTTAGTAACAATCCTGACTGGTTATTCAATCAATCTTATGTTGGCTTGTTCAGAGAAAACAGGTAAGTTGAGACAAGATCCAATTTAGTTAAGTGGAAGAAGGTCAGAGGGAAAGATTTTCATAATGATTTTATTAGCTGAATTTCCTTTTGCTCTTTCAGCAGCCTGATTATATAGAAACAGCAACTGGAACAGCAGTAAAGGAATGTCTTTGGTGCTCACCTGGGGCCAAGGCAAAATGCAATATCAATTGCATTTTTTCAGTGGTACATAAAGCAAGTGAGAAGTGCAATTTAAAGAGAACTTTCAATTAGGGTTTATTTTTTTCAGTTGATTATCTTACTCTTGAGTTCTACTTTATCCCTCAGTTCATACTATATTTAAGAACAAGTGTCCTATGTCTTCAAGTTGTAATTTCCAGGTTTTAAAAGGAAACGTATTTATTCATTCTCTCTTGGGCAAGTTCCAAAGAGAAAACATTACTTCTGAGCTAACCTCAAAGTATCTACTATTAAATTACCTTAAGATTGTAATTCCTGAAGGTTTATTTTCTAGTTTTGTTTCATACTGAATTATATTTGCAATATATTTCCTATGTTAGCCAGAGCATTATATTACAAAAACCTGGAACATTTGGTTCTAAATAGAGGATCTAGCTGTTTTTTTTCTTTGAGCACTAGGTTTGGAAAACATAAACATTTTGAGCATAAGTCATAAAGAAATGTAAACAAGATAAAAAAAAAGAACGAATTTGTCTTCCCATAACCATTTAGATCAGTACCTTAAATGCTTCGAATTTCAGTTTGTCTGCATTGTGCTCTAGCAGACATTATCTGTCATTCTCATTTTGTCTTCCTCAGTATTTTGATAGCTTGATTTTAATTGAGACCATTATCAAAATTGCATGATTCCTAGTGTCATGACTTCTATGAACACCCCAAATAAATTTTTGTATTTATCAAGCATAGTCCTTGATAGAATGAAAATAAGAAAAAACAAGTCAACCCAAAAATAATAGGAAAAAGATCCAATTCCATACAACTTCAATTACTTTAGTCAAGGCAAAAAATTCAGTCTAAGCTTGACAATTTGAGCAACCTAAAGCAAAATACTTTTTTTGTGGTGGGGGGAGGGGAAGGGCATCAGTGTAATTGCGTCAGTCCTCTATTTCATTTTTACTAGGTAGACTGGGCCTAGGAATAAGATTTAAACAGTAAGAATGTCCAAAATAGAGCTCTGCTTATTTGAAACAATTAAAAATAAGCCATTAGATCACTTTTTATGCTTTTACAGTCAAATCAAAAAGGAGAAATAGTGATCATTCTTGACACTTAAATATTTTTAATAAGTTTTGAAATAATATTTCCTTCATCCTTATGACAGCTTAGAACACTGCTTGATTTTGGCAGGATAGGAATAACAGGGTTGAAGAATGATCACTGGATTTTGGTTGTTTTGATTTTATGACTTTTGTCACTTTTTATGTTCCTTTAAATTCATTCAGGATGTTTGAATTTTGAAAAGATGGGTGAGAAAATCTATAGCATCAAAGGGAAGTATATCATATTTGGAACCACCTTTCTCCAGAACATGGGAGGTAAATGCAACACAATCTTCTCCCCTTGTCTCCCTGCCCTAACCCACTCCCTAACAAGCATGTCTCTGTACACACTTTAAAACAGTGTGACTAAAAATATTTTTCCTTTTAGTAGTTGTGTTTTGGTGGCCTCATGGTGACAAAACCATGGTCATTACCTGCCCTTATAGCTAAAATGGTGTGTGATGTGCAGAATAGACTAGTCTCATCTTTTGCTTATAGCCAATTAAATTGCTAGGATTTGGCAATGCTGGCTTTCTATCTTAATGCCTTAACCTAAGGACAAGGCTTTATAACCTTTTGTATGACTTGCAATATGAACTATAGTGTCTCCTTTCTAAAAAATATTTTTATTTTCCTCCTTAGCCATTCTGAGCTACCTTTTTATAATAAAAAGTGAACTGCCTGGTGTCATAAAAGTTCTTATAGGAAAGGAAGAAGAATTTCCGTAAGTTAAAAGGCTATTTTTTTATGTTCTAACTTTAAATTTATATGTAGACTAATCAAAGTTTTGATCTTAATAAAATTCTAGTTGACTGAACTTTTGGTAGACTGATTTGGGATGAGAAAAATAAAGGGAAAAAAGCAAGTCACACAGGTAGAAAACTTAAAAGGTTTGGTATATGAAAACTCATTTAACATGCAACAAAGAAATGCTGTTGGAATTTTATAGGACCCTAAACTGAAGCCTGTATCTAGTTTACATGGAATGAAATTTATTGAAGTATTTTCAATGGAAAGGTAAAACCACATTGTTGAAGAAAGGACATTCTAGGAATGAGTGTTTTATGTGATCTGGACCTTCCCACAAAAGATTCAAATAATCTTAGACACATCTGACCTACAAGTCATACTTTGATTCCATTTTGTTTAGCAATTCCCTTTCATTGTTATTTTTTTCCTATTTTCCTTCAAGGGAAAATTATAGAAGCCCATAATTCCAAACCACTCATTCTTATAGTAACATGCTAAACATAAGGAAGCAGTGGGAAAAAAATACCTCTCATGAATTTTTACTTGCTGACATTTACTTTACAAAACACACACACAAAAAAAGCATTTTCCTTTAATAATTGATAGTATGCATGTCTTATAATCTGACTGAATTTGATGTGTGCATTCAATTTTGAAGTCATTTCAATAATTCAAAATGGATGCCATATTTCAAACAGTAGGTAAGAAAAATAGAGTATTAGAAAGGTAGAATTATATAAAATCTTAAATCATGGAAAAGGAATAGGAAATATACTATAAAATTGTTTTGAGTGAAAATAAGTTTCTAACAAAATGTTTTTTTTTAATTTAAAATATCTTACAGAATATGGTATTTGGATGGTCGAATACTTATTATATTAATTACCATTGCTATTATTTTTCCTCTCTGTCTCATGAAGCACTTAGGTAAGGAAAGATTCTGTATTATACTACTTTTAATTGTGCCTAAGTGAATTAAAGACCTAGAAAAATGCAGCTACTTTCATGTCTGTTATTAGTAGTAAAAAGAGGAAACATGCATGTCAGATTCAATCTTGAAAATCTTGAAATTTGTGCCCTCTGCTATAATACATCTTTTATGCCCACTCTTTCTCATTTCTCATTACTTTTTTTTTTTTGGTGAGGCAATGGGGTTAAGTGACTTGTCTAGGGTCACACAGCTAGTAAGTGTCATGTGTCTGAGGCCAGATTTGAACCGAGGTCCTCCTGACTCCAAGGCCGAAGGTCTATACACTGCACCACCTCGCTGCTCCTTCATTTTTCATTACTAAGACATCTTCCTCCACTATCTCCTCTTAGATGGAGAAGTGGCCCTCTGCTTGAGAAAGAAATGCCTCTGCATGTGCCCTTGATCTCATTCTTGCATGACTTCTCTAGCAAGTTGTTCTCACTATCATTTCTCCTCTCCCTTATTTTCAGTACCTTCATTTGTACTGTCTCCTTTCTGCTAAATAAAAACATGCCTTGTTTTCTTCATCCCTTAAAAACCCTCACCTGATCTGATCATTCACAATAACTACCCTCCCACATTTTTCCTTCCCTTCATGGTTAAATTCCTCAAGAAAATTGTTTACAATTGGTGCCTCAATTCCTTTCCTCTCTCTCTGTTCTATTCCTTCTGCAATCTCGTTTCTGTTCTTCACAACTGAAAATGTCTTCTTTAGAGTTATAGTCTTATCTTAATTGTCATATCTAATAGCTTTTTTTATTTTATCCTGATCACTCGTGGTACTGTTGAACACCTCCTTCTAGATATTCTCTCCTCTCCAGATTTTCATGACAGTGCTCTCTTCTGGTTCTCTTTCTGACTATTCTTTAGTCTTTGCTGTTTCTTCATCCATGCCATACCCACTAACAGTGAGTTTCTCTGAAGGTTTTGTCCTGGCCTCCCTTCATGTTATGATATATAATATCTCAGTTGGAGTTCTTATTGGCTCCCATAGGTTCAATTATCATCTCTGTGTAGATGATTTCCAGATCTATGTATCCATCCTTAGTCTCTCTACTAAGCTAAGGTCACCCATTTCCAGCTGCTTCTTGAATATCTCAAAATCAACATGTCTAAAACAAAAATTATTATCTTTCTGCACCTATACTCTTCCATCTTCTGAACTTTCCTTTTACTTTGGAGGGAACCATCATCCTCCCAGTCTCCTAGGCTCACAAATTTAGTTCATTGTTGACTCCTCACTCTGACCCCAAATATCTAATTCACAGAAAAATCTTACTTCTACCTTCACAACATCTGTCATATGCATCTCTTCTTTTCTGATGAAACAACCAAACCCCTAGGTCACACCTTGATCACTTCTCTCTGATACGACTACAATAGCCTTCTAAAGTTTTCTCTTCCTCAAGTCTCTCCCCATTCCAGTCCATTCTCCAGTCAGCCACCAAGGTGGTTTTTTTTTCTCCCTAAAATGTAGGTCTAGACCACATTACTGCTCTGCCCCCCTTCAGGGAACTGTCTTGAGTATATTCCTATTATCTTTAGGATCAAATATAAACTCCTCTATTTGGCATCTAAAGCACTATCTAACCTGTACTTTTCCTATCTTTTCAGCCTATATATTACTATATTTCTCATGCACACTTATGATCCAGTTACATTGGTCTACTTGCATTTCCTCTAACAGTTCACTTTATTTCCTATCTCTGTGCCTTGAACTAGTTGTCACACATGCTTAGAATGCTCTCCTTCCTCAATTGGGCCTCTTAGTTTCTTTTTTAATATAATTTTATTTTTTCAAATAACAAAAATCTACTTTGTCTGCCTTCTATCTCCCTCCCACCATTGGAAAACAAAAACAAAACCAAAACCAAAAACAAAACACTTAACAAATGTGCATAGTTAAGCAAAACAAATTCTCACATTGGTCATGTTAAAAAAATATATGTCTCAATCTGTACCCTTAGGAGTTAAAGTAACATGCTTCATCTGGAATTGTGGTTGGTCATTACGTGGGAACAAAGTTCTTAAATCTTTCAAAGTTCTTTGTCTATACAGTGTTGTTATTATGGTTTTCCTGGTTCTACTCACTTCACTGTGTCATTTCATACAAATCTTCTCAGATTTTTCTGAAACTGCCCTTTTCATAGTTTCTTACAGCAGAACATTATTCCATATATTCATATACCATTATTTTTCATACATTCATCAATTGATAGGTATCCCCTTAATTTCTAGTTCTTTGCTACACCCAAATAGTTATTATGTTGTACATATTTCCTTCTTTCTTGATCTCTGGTATGCTGACATAGTAGTTGTATGCAATTTAATAACTTTTTGGTTATAGCTGCAAATTGCTTCCTAGTATAACTGAGCCAATTCACAAGTCTACCAGTAGTGCATTAATATGCCTGTTTTTCCACATACCCTCTAGCATTTGAAATGTGCCCCCCCTTTTTTCAAGTTGCCGATCCCCATGGGTGTGAGGTGGAAACCTAGAGTTGGTTTAATTTACATTTCTCTGATTATTAGTAGTTTGGAGTGTTTTCGTTTATGACTCTTGGTAAGTTGGATTTCTTCTTTAGAACACTGTTTATACACATTCTTGATCATTTATTAACTTGGGAATGGTTCCTATTCTTACAAGGTTGGAAATGAACTCCTAATCAAGACATTCACTGCAAAGCTTTTCCCCAGTTACCTGCTTCCCTCCCAATTTTAACTTCTTTGATTTTGTTTGTGTAAAATTTTAATTTTATGTAATTAAATTGCCCATTTCATCTTTTAAAAAATGTAATAATTTATTTTTCCCCAATTACACATAAAAACAATTTTAACAATCTTTTTTAAATATTTTGAGTTCAAAATTCTCTCCCTCTCTCTCCTTCACCCATTGAGAAAACAAGCAATTTCATATAGATTATACATGTTTAGTCATGCAAACCATATTTCCATGTAAGTCATGCCATGAAAGAAAACACAGAAAATTTTTATAACCAAAAATAAAGGAAGTAAAGAAAAAGTATCTTCAAACTGTGTTCAGGCTCCACCAGTTCTTTCTCTGGAGATGGACAACACCTTTTATCTTAAGTCCTTCAGAATTGTCTTTGATCATTGTATTGCTGAGAATAGCTAAGTTATTCACAATAGATCATCATACAATATTGCTGTTACCATGTACAATGTTCTCCTGGCCCTACTCCTTTCACTTTACATCAGTTCATGTAAGTCTTTCCAGATTTTTCTGCGAACATCCTGCTCGTCATTTTTTATAGCACAATAGTATTCCATCACAACAATATACAACAACTTGTTCAGCCATTCCTCAATTGATGGATCTACCCTCAATTTCCAAATTTTTGTCACCACTAAAAGAGCTGCTATAAATGTTTTTTTAATATATTTTTGGTTTTTATCCCTTTGGGATAGTATTGCTAGTATTGCTGGGTCAAAGGATATGCATGGTTTTATAGCTCTTTAGGTATAGTTCCAAATTACTTTCCAGAATGGGTGAATTAATATACATACTTACCAACAGTGTATTAGGGTTTTAATTTTCCCACATCCTCTCCAACATTTATTATTTTCCATTTCTGTCATGTTAGCCAATCTGATAAGTGTGTGGTGGTAGCTCAGAATTGTTTTAATTTGCTTTTCTCTAATCAATAAATTTAGAGGAATTTTTCATATGACTATGGATAGCTTTGATTTCTTCTTCTGAAAACTGCCTGTTCACATCCTTTGACCATTTATCAATTGAGAAATGGCTCTTATTTCTATACATTTGACTCAGTTTTCTATCTGTTTGACAAATGAGGTCTTTATCTGCAAAACTTTCTGTAAAAATGTTTTTCACAGTAATGATGACTAACTATGTATTTCCCTCCATGCTATTTCCCCCTGTTTATCCTACTCTCTCTGTCTCCTTTCACCCTATACATTCTCAAAAATATGTTGCTTCTGACTTTTACCTCCCTTAATCTGACCTCTCTTCTATCATCCCTATCCTTCTCTTCTCCCCTTCCCCTCCTACTTTCCTATATGATAAGATAGATTTGTATAACCCCCTGAGTGTGTATGTTATTCCCACTTTGAGCCAATTCTGATGAGAGTAAGGTTCATGTGCTCCCCCCACCTCCACCACTTCCTCTTTCTTCCCCATCCACTGTAAAATCTCTTTCATGCCTCTTTAATGTCAGATAATTTACCCCATTCTATCTCTCCCTTCCCCCTTCTCCCAGTGCATTCTTCCTTCTCACCACTTAATTTTATTTTTTAGGTAACTATCCAATTATATTCAGCTCATACCCATGCCTCCTGTTTGTGTGTACTCCTTCTAACTGCTCTAATAATGAGAAAGTTTTTAAGATTCACAAGTATCAAAACAGTTTAAACTTGTTGAATCCCTTATGATTTCTCTTTCCTGTTTGCCTTTTTATGCTTCTTTTGAGTCTTATATTTGAAAGTCAAATTTTCTATTCAGCTCTAGTCTTTTCATCAAGAATGCTTAAAAGTCCTCAATTTAATTTAATATTAATTTTTCCCCCTGAAGGATTATACTCAGTGTTAATGGGTAGGTAATTCTTGGTTGCAATCCTACCTCCTTTGCCCTCCAGAATGTAATATTCCAAGCCCTCTGATCCTTTAGTGTAAAAGCTGCTAAATCTTGTGTTACCTTGACAAGGTAACTCCATGATGTTTGAATTTTTTTCTTTCTGGTTACTTGCAATATTTTCTCCTTGACCTTGGAACTCTGGAATTTGGCTATAATATTCCTGTGAGATTTCATTTTGAGATCTCTTTCAGGAGATGATCAGTGGATTCTTTCCATTTCTATTTTACCCTCTGGTTTTGGAGTATCAGGGCAGTTTACCTCGATAATTTCTTGAAAGATGATGCCTAGGCTCTTTTTTTGATCATGGCTTTCAGGTAGTCCAATAATTCTTAAATTATCTCT